TCAACAGATACGTAGCAGCGGAAAACTTGCCGACAATGCGTTAAAAATAAGATAATTAATCATAAATCATGATTAGTGAAGCAAAGCTAAAAATGGCGAACAAGAACTTTTTACAAATTTTGAATAAAAAAAAACCAAAAAAGAAAAATATATATTTAAGCGAAACCACTAAAAATGTCACAGCTTAGGGTCGTTTGTAAAACTTATTTAGCGATTATATATTTTGTTTTGGTTTGAAAAGTTGCTAATTCGAATGGAAAGAAAGTTTAAGAAGATAAAAAGCTACGAAGTAAAAGAGATGTATAAAGTCATTACTGCAGATTTTTTTTTCAAAATAGGACTAGTATTGGAATTAGCAGCATCTCCCGATAACACTGTGCGACAAGATTATTTTTTTTTTTATATTTAATGGAAGTTTAATTGGTCGAATTTTGTAATGTGTTTTATGGTTCATATTAAGTATACAAGCTTCAGAGACTCATAATGAAACTTGATCTTTCATAATTCTTTCTCTCCTCTCCCCCCAAAATGAAGTATTACACGTAAAAAAGCTGTAAGTTCGGCCGGGCCTATCTTTGAATACTCCCCACCATTTGGAACGATTTTGGCAATTTAAAAAAAATAAAAATAAAATAAAAATAAATAAATAAATAAAAAATAAAATCCGTTAAAAATTCTGTTGAAATCTTAAAAATACCGAATGTAGCCGTCATATTAGGGTCTATACGACGACGTGAACCTGCATAGGCAACTTTTGTTATAAACCATTACAATATTCAAATGCGGAATTTGAATAAAACAATTCGGTGAATAATGTAGCTAAAAGCATCAAAATACCGAATATAGGGAGGTACCGTTAAGACGTGGACCTGCATAGGCCATTTTTCTGTCATAGGCTGAAGTATCCATTACGAACTTTAAACACCAAATTTGAAATAATTCCGGTGAATAATGTTGCTAAAAACATCAAATACCGAATATCGGGAGGTGCCGTTATATTGGGGCTATACGAAGACATGGACCTGCACAGACAATTTTCTCTCATAGGCTTTAGTATCCATTACAAACATCAAATACCAAATTTGAAACAATTCGGTTGAATAATATAGCAAAAAATTTTCCAAAGTTCCTGTATAACGGCACTCACCGATATTCGGTGTTTTGATAATTCTAGCCATATTTTTTTTATACCCTGAACCATATCATTTGATACGGCCAAAACGTGCCTCATCGGAATAAAGGTCTCTTTGGACCAAATCCGTTTCAGGACATTTGGAGTCGATCTAGCGATGGCTGGTTCGCACGATAACACTCGAAGGGAGTGTCCGATTTAATCCAAACATGGTACATCGTAATATTTTTGTCAAACTTAGATCGAGTTCGGAGATGAGCAATATCGGGCCACTCCTTCTTGTACCTCTCACACAAAATGTCAACATTTTCAAAGAAAATGATTTACCGCACAGAAAGAGAAATGATAATCCGAATTTGCTCCAAAATTGCTAATCCTAATATTTGCGTCAGTGTTACGTCAGGTACGCAAATGGACAATATCGGTCCACTCTATCAAGTACCTCAACCACAAATGGTCAAATTTTTGAATAATTACAACTCTTATAAAATATGATGTAAGAGTCCGATTGTCTTCAAATTTCACACATCCCAATAATTTTATTAACCCAAGGTCTGGAATGTATCGGTCGACTCCTTCTGATAACTCCCCCCCAAAAGGTCGAAATTTTAAAAAATATATATTTTTTGCACAGAAGGAGAAATGATAATCCGAGTTTGCTCCAAATTGGCAAATCCTAATATTAGCGTCAGTGCTATGTCAGGTGTGAAAATGGAAAATATCGGTCCAGTCCATCAAGTATCTCCGCCACAAATGGTCAAAATTTTGAAGAGTTACAACTCTCATAAAATGTGATATAAGAGTCCTATTGCCTTCGAATTTCACACATCCCAATATTTATATTAACCCAAGGTCTGGTGTTAAAATGGAATATATCGGTCCGCTCCTTCTGGTACCTCCCCCACAAAAAATTTAAAAAAAGAAAAAACAGAAAAAATTTTTTTTTTCACAGAAAGAGAAGCGATATTCCGGGTTTGCTCCAACTTTGCAAATCCTAATATTTTCGTCACTTCTAGGTCAGGTGCAAAAATGTATAATATCGTTCCACTCCATTAAGTACCTCCCTCACAAAGGGTGCGAATTTTGAATAATTATAAGTCTTATAAAATGTGATGTAAGAATCCGATTGTCTTAAAATTTCACACATTCAAATATTTATATTAACCCAAGGTCTGGTGTTAAGATGGAATATATAGGTCCACTCCTTCCGGTACCTCCCCCACAAAAGGTCGAAATTTTTAATATCCATTAAGCTTATAAAACGCGAAATTAACATCGGATTCCATTTAGACTTGGCACATTTAAATATTTCTATCAACACATGATCTTTTTAAAAAAAACGGTGTAGAGATCGGATCATTCCTCCTGCTACCTCCTTCACAAAGGGTCAAAGTTTTGAATAACCAAAACGTTTATAAAATCCGAAATAAGCATTAGGTTCTCTTTATATTTCGCGCATCCCATTATTTCCACTAACAAAAGATCTGTTGTGAAGATGGGATACATCGGTCCACTTCTTTTGGTACCTCCCTCCCCTTGGTACATTCCCTAAATTTCCATTAACACAGCACAGTCAAAACCTAAAAAAAAAAAAACTAAAAAACCAATTCCTTCGGAACCAACTGCATAAGGGGTTAAACATTTGAATAATCATAACAGCAGACAAAATATTTTGAAATAATCGAATATTGGCTGAGGGTATACAGGGTTGTCCATATTCGACGGACCCATCTGGCAACGCCATAACTTTTGACAGAGATGTCACATCGCTTAATGACATACCGCGTTTGAAGCGTCAGTCCAAGCAGATTTTTACCATGAACCAATACACGCCACGCGAGCGCTCTGAAATAGTTGAAATTTACATTCAACAGAAGAAGTCAATTGTGAAAAAAAATGTGAGAAGTGCGCCTTCTACGAACACCATTAAGCGTTTATACGAAAAATTTTCGACTGGTAAGGCTCTTTCTAATCCGAAGAGGCCATATAAAAGTCGACCAACGCGATCGGCCGAGAATATCGCTGCCGTACGAGCCAGTGTTGAGAGGTCCCCAAGAACATCTCAAAAACGCCGTTCTCAGCAGTTGGGCATGGCTCGGTCCACTTTACAACGGATTATTCGCATTGATTTGCATTTGTTCCCGTACAAAATTCAATTGACGCAAAGAATGTTGCCTGCGGACAAGCCTCGTCGATTGGAATGGGCCCAAAGGGCCCAAAGGTCCGTCGAATATGGGCAACCCAGTACATCTGTCGGCAAAACCGACCGATACTTTTTTGCTTGTTTTTTTTTTTTCTTTGTCCGCAGATATATCCAATATTTTGAAAGATTGCTTTTATTTTCATGTAAGAAATAAGGTTACAACAATATTAGCTGGAACACAACACAGTAAAGTTTGAAAAGGTCTTGGCGCTCCACCAAAGAATTTTTGCATACTTGTTATCATGGTACAATGATATCAAGGTAGGGCTTTGATACCATATGATTTCAATTTTTTTTATTTTCTTGGCTTAATATGTCATATTTATTTGTTTATGTATGTGTTTTCTTTTCAATAACAAAAAATTGTTCAGAAAACATTCAAATTCGGATGTTTTCAAAATGTTTATTTCATCGTATGCATCGACAAAATCTAGAGTTTTTGTAGCGAAATAATCCTTTAGAGATATATAGAACCTGGTTTTGAAAAGAAGTGTTGACCTTTCATTCAGTTTTAGCGGTTTTCAATTATTTATTCAAAATAAATGCAACAAGTTGTTTTGATTTTGTTATTGTTTTGATACTATTTCTGACATTACAAGCCAAACAGGTAGACCTCTATACTTGCAATTTTTTCAAAGTTGACCTACCTTCTCTTCATTGTACCATGCTTGTTATGTCATCATCGAAAAATACCTTTAAGACACCCTGAAATATATGTATTTTCTTCAATAGGCACTTGGCAATATTGTCTTCAGCTGTACTACCATCTCTATTGTGCAAAATACAAGATGTCATTGAATTTACATGATATGCTGGGCATGGCTTAAAGTTTCCCAACAGTTACTGCTGAATTTTCCAACATCAACTTTATTATTCTGCCCTTCGACCTAATCCCTCCTACCCATGTTTGTTTTTTGTGTTCATCATCACAGTGACAACTATAGCATGCCCATGTTACAACATTTATAGATTGATCCATTCGCCCATAAAAGCTTATCTGCAATTTTACAAGTTTTAGGATACAATTTTCCCAAGAAAAAAAAAAAAAAAAAAAAAAAAAAAAAAAACCCAACTCTAAAATTCCCATTTGATATCCTTATTTTTTATTTCTGATCACACAATAAAGCTTAACATGGTTTTAAGAAACTGCAGCAAAACAGTTCCTTAAAACCAGATTACCGAAACGTGACACCCAAACAAAACATTTGCCAGCAAAAAGAGAAAAAGAAGAAAACTGTGTCATTAGGTATCCTTTGTATGTGTGTGTGTGAGGGAGTTTTTTCCCATCACTTGCCTTATAAAATTCTCATTATTTTACCATTAACGCTTCCTCAAAAGCCAACAAACCAAACCGGCCAATGGATAATTTACAAAAATTGAACGTCACATGTGGTCAAATCGTCGTACCGACCATCCGACCGATCCTAACACATGGACATTGTTTTACGTGTTGTTGGCTTTTCCTTGTTTTTTACAGCCATTTTATCGACAGGAGCAAAGTTTCTCCCTGTGTACGTGTGCATCCTTTCAAATGCATAACAAATTGAAATTCGATACGTTTCGAAGAAAGTAAAGACAAAAAAACAGGAAAATTTATAAAATATTAAAATGTAATTTTCAAAGCAAATGGTCAAGTGAATCACATGCTACTGAGGAAATACTTACGGAAAAGACACATGGACTGAAAATAGAAAAAAAAATTGGAAAAAATATTAGTAAGGAACTTTGAATAAAAAAAAAATTGGGAAAAATTTTTAATTTTTATAAAACTTTTCTGAAACCTAGAAGAACGTGACTTAATGTCGACATGCTTTTATGGGGAAGTTATATTGATCCTTGAAATTCCACGCCTTTGGCGTGAGAGCACCATAAAGAGAGCATCTAAATATCCCATATTTACACTAGCGATATTACAATTATTGAAATGCGCGATTTTTCAAGAGATTTGGGTAATAATTTCTTATTTCATGGGCTATATGATCATCCAAATATTTACCATATGCAGGAGAGGAAACACAAGGACACGTTATCCTTATTGGGATAAATATTTTTTTTTTCAATTTCGTTTGGGAAAACATTGCTCTCTGTAGTAAAGAGTAATATGAAGTTAAGTCAATGCGGGAAATACTCCAGACTTAAGCAATTTTTCATTTCAATAAATTTATGGTATTCGAAAGTTTGACGTATTGGGTGGAGGTCCGAGAAGCGGTGGGACAATATTTCTCATATAGTGGGTCTTCATTTCTGCATTTGAACTACATCCAGAACTTGATTAATTTCATACGAGACATATAGGGTGAGATGATAAAACCGCAACCAACTTCAGACTGCTGTCATTTCTAAGGCACTCGTCCGACAGCTGTTAAAATTATTCCAGTGACAGCTCATTATATTTTTGACAAGCGTACAAAAGCATTTTGTTGAGAATTTTCGACAAAAAAAGTTGTTCGTGATGTAATTTAAGCGTGATAGTCTGATTTCTTTGTATTTGGCTGGAAAATCATAAATGGCTATCGTTAGAGCACTCCAGCATTTAAATGTGAATAAATCGTTTGTGTCTCGTACCATCGATCGTTACCGTGATACTGGTAGCGTAGCCCGACGTCAAGGAAATGGACGAAAGAAAACAGCAACATCAGCAGAAATGGTTCGAAAAGTAAAGAAGCGACTTGATCGAAACCCGCGGCGCAGTGGCCGAAAATGTGCTGAAAATATCGCAATATTCCATTCGGCAAATATTGAAAAATGAGCTCGGGGTAAAGCCATTGAAATTCCAAAAAGTGCAAGAACTTACACCGCAACGGAAAGAAAATAGACTCAAAAGAGCTAAGGAGTTGTTTCGCTTGGTCGAAAGTGGTGAACTGCCAATGGGAAAACATTCGTTGTCCAGCAAAAAGGTCAGCTGAAAATGTGCACCTTCGGTTGGCCAAAAGAACTCAAGCGTCTGTCACGGTGATGGTGTGCGCCACCATAACAGCCGATGGTCGCTTTCCGCTCGTATTAATCGACGTGGCATCAGAATAAATGCCGAATATTATCGCGAAAATATTCTGGAGGGTGTATTAATGCCTTGGGCACGCAAAGGTTGGCATTAAAAAAATACCAAAGTGTCGATCTCCTCAAGCAAGCGCTTCACCGGGAATGGGTCAAAATACCGCAGAGCAACATTCGGGCAGCGTGTGACTGTTTCATTGGCCGTTTAAAGGCTATAATTCGTGTCAAAGGTGACCAATTCGAACAAATCTTGACTTATTCCAAAATTTGATGCTATTTCCGACATTTTTTGCTTTCATTCAATAAAAAAAGAATATAAAAATTATGGCTTTTGACTTTGTTGCAATTTTTTATCTCACCCTTTATAAAATGTTTTTTATACCCTCATAGTATGGAGGGTATATTAAGTTTGTCATTCCGTTTGTAACACATTGAAGTATATATTTTATACCACAAAAAATATTTATTTGTCTTGATCAGCATAAAATTTTATGGCGACATTCTATAGCGACATTATTTACCGGAATTGTGTCAAATTTGGTAAGTTCGTAAAGGATTCTACAGCTTATGACTGAAAATTGTCTGTGCAGGTCCATGTTTTCGTATAGCGATATTCGGTATTTTAATGATTTTAGCTACATTTTTCACCGATGTTTATACCCTACACCACATGGTGATCAGGGTATTATATCTTTGTGCATTTATTTGTAACAGGCAAAAGGAAACGATATAGACCCGTAGTTGCTTTCGATGATCTGCATAGAATCACATTCTGAGTCGATTTATGCATGTCTGTCCGTCCGTCCGTTTATTGTATTTTTGTAAACAAAGTACAGTTCGCATTTATTGCCCTATCCAGATGGAATTTTGCACAAATAATTTGTTTAGCCCAAGGACGAACCCTATTGAAATTAGAGATAATCGGTCAAAATTTAGATATAGCTCCCATATATATCTTCGTCCGATTTGCATTTTATTGTGCACCAAACGTGTAATATCAGCCCGAATTGTATGGAATTTTGCATATACACCCAAATTAGACCTGAAAATAAGTATGCCAAATTCCATCGAAATCGGTTCAGATTTAGCTATAGCTTCCATATGTATTGTTCATCCGATTTGTTATTTATGTCCTCCACAGCCATAATATGCACTCCGCAACAACAATATTTGGGGAAATATATCAAATACAGCTCAGAAATACATTTCCTAAATTTTATCGAGATCGTTTCAGATTTGGATATAACTCCCATATATAACTTCGTCCGATTTACCTTTTATTATGCACCAAACGTCTAATATTTGTCCAAATGGGATGGAATTAGGCACTTACGGGCGAATTGAGTCTACAAGCTAGTATGTCAGATTTGGTTAAGATCGGTTCAGATATAGCTATAGCTCCCATGTATACTGTTCATCCGATTTGTTATATTTGTTACACACAGCCGTAATATGCACTCCTTAATAACTATATTCAGGGAAATATATGAAATACAGCTCAGAAATATCTTTGCCAAATTTTATCAAGATCGGTTCAGATTTGGATATAGCTCCCATATATATCAAATGGACAATACAAGTCCTTTAACTTATAATTATAATCATAGGGTGTATGATTGAATTCTCCCATAAAAGCTGTTAATTGTTATGTGGAGCTCTACTAAATAAGCAAAGTGGTGTAGGGTATCATAAAGTCGGCCCCGCCCGACTTTAAGGATTTCTTTACTGGTTTTAAGTTTGGCATTTGAATATTGTAACAGACCAGATTTTTCAACCGATTTTATTGTTTTTGAGAATTGCAAAATTCGTTCCAAATGATGGAGGGTATTCGACCGGGCCGAAAATCTCATTTTTTGTTTGTTGTTGGAAGGCATATATGGATACGTCTATGACTCAGAATACAACTTGATAGGTCAGAGTTCTTTTGGACGTGGATCGTATTTTACGGATCTGTCTTTCTTGCATTGCTAGCAAGTTTGGCTTCAGACAAATTCCAAATAAATTTCTCACTCTGGACCCTGCTGGAAAAGGACATAATTTGCGAGAAACATTATTCTTCATGTTTCCCATATAAAATCTTTTATTTAAATACAACGCTTTGCTCTATATCTTCAATGAAGGTGGCCAAACTGATATGAGTAAAACCGTTTTTCAGTTTATAGAATTTACCTCTACTTTATTACATATTCCTCATTATAAACCAATTGACGATTCTCTTATGAGATTTCCAATGTTAATGCAATACTGAATTCTATTTTATACGTTCTTGTGTTACATTGTCATTTATATTTATATTTTTTCAATGAATATACAATTTCTTATGTTTCTCCTATACCAAAATATTACCATTTACTTCCCATATAAAAATTGTATATTTTATACAGTACGAGTATTTCCCTCAGTCAATCCCATTTCAATCGTAATCATCTTATACAATCTACGGGTACTCCTACTGAAGAAAATCTATTTTATAAATCTTTTTTTTTTTTTTTTTTTGATTTTTTGTTTTTCCCATTCATCTTAAATTTTTGTTGGAAAAAAAAAAACACATCTATGAATGAAACTTCGTGTGATTCAAAAAAGGGTTTCAGAGACAAAACAAACCCGATTCTATGACATGGGGATGAATGAGTCCTATTTATAGCTTTTGCTATAAATAACCGGTCTATTCTCTACATACACTAAATTTGTTCATTAGCGTTACTCTCTGTTTTGTTGTTGCTGCTATTGGTTTTGATGACAAAAAAAAACGAAACATCAATGTCAATCTTGAAAAGGATGCTGACATAAGGATGAAATCGCTTGTATGTTGTCTTCGAAAAAAAATGTCTTTTATTTTTTGTTGAACTTTCTAAATTTATTTTTACACGAATCGTGGAAGAAGTAGGAAAGACAAATGCGGATTTGTCGCCAAATAAATGTAATTGTATAAACAATTGTGTGACAATTGCTTTTGAGATATATTTAACTTCCTAGCATTTGGTACTGGGGGACATAGTTTAAAAATAGGTTGAAGGATACAAATATGCCCAGACATACATGTGACGTATTTATGGATAAGTTTTTTCAAAAAGTTATTAATATTGGATAGTATGGTTTTAAAATGCCTGGTTTTCTTTTAGCATTTATGACCTGGTGTATTCTGAAACCTATAAAAGATTTTACAAGAAACTTGATGGCGCCCGCTACTTCGTCAGCGAAAATCTTAGATTCGTTCCAATAGTTCTTGTTAGGGCTTTTAAGTACTCAAAACTCACATTTTGTTCAGTTTGACAAAATATTTTAAGCAAAACTTCTTACGTCGTATTAAATTTCTCTGACTTTCAAGGAGTATCGTAATGCTACTGAGGAGAAAAACACAACGTATAGGGCAACCCTGCAGACAGTAGCAACACGTAATGCAAGAGAGAATTATCGGGAAAAAAGGAGAGAGGAGAAACGTATTTTCAGAAAAAAGAAGAAAGAACAAGAAAAACGTGAGCGCGACCAAATCGAGATGTGCAGGAGTCAGAATGAAGTCCGGAAATTTTTCCAACGAGTAAAACACCAAACCGAAGGCTTTGGTGCAGGCACATCCTCCTGTAGAGATGAAGAAGGAAATCTAGTGACAGATACAGATAGCGTGCTGAGGATCTGGAAGGAGCATTTTGCAAAGCTTCTGGTATCAAATAATGGCGGTGAAGAAGA